TGGCGAAGTACGAGCTTTGTTGCGTCAAATTTTATCCGATTCTGTACCTTTAAGTAGCAAGTGTAAAGGAAAAACACGTTCCAATAAAAGTAAGCATTCATTTATAACATAAATATAATGTATAATATAATTGTTGTTTATATTTTAGATTCGGAAAGTTTGAATAATAAAATGAGCAATAGCATACTCGAAGAGTGTCATAAAACATTTGTATCCTGCTATCATGCATTTTATCCAACTGCATATTTAAAATGGACTTCTTTATGCGAATTATTGTCAGAAATAGATAAAGTAAGTTGATAAATATAATAAACACAAATGTTTTATCAAAAATTGTTAATTATGAATTATTTATACAGGAACAAGGTGTTACTACGAAAGATCGTCTCCTATCAGCAGTTGTTGCTTCTCTTTGTAGTCCTACGATTCGTCTTAGATGCACCTTTCCAATTTTAAGTAATACGATGGATAACAGTGATGGTATAAAAAGACAATTAAGTCCATCGGATAATGCTGGTTTACTTATGATGAATTCAACAGACACCCATCAATATCCAATTCTCGTAGAACAAATTAGTTACAAATCACAAATTGAAAGTTCTGGAAGAGAAACATTGAATTGGTCGTTTCGTGAAGTTCTCGAAAGATTATTAGATTTGGTATTGGTACCGGTGAAGAAAAATCTTTGTAGAGAAAAAAGTTATTCATTGCCAGAATTAATTTTGCACTGTTGTTATTTACTTGCTCGTGTTATCGCTGAATTGGCAGCACAGTCAAATGGAAACGAAGATGATTTGCAAGGTGCTTATGGTAAACTTATGTACACCACACCTTCAAGATTTACGAGAACGAGTCAAACGAGATCATGGAATACTGGAAATGGTTCTCCCGATGCCATTTGTTTCTCCGTTGATAGACCAGGCATTTTTATAGCAGGCATTGGTATCTTTGGAGGTGTCGGAGTTTACGAATACGAATTGGAATTGTTAGAAGATGTATGTATAATTTTGAAACATTTCTTTTTTTTTTTATTTATTTTGATAATATTTCATAATAGTACATTAATTTATCTAGCAACAAAATAATACTGGAAATGATCCGTCTCATACTCAACGTTGGACTAGTTTAGAATTTACAAGAGGATCCTTTGGACCGGAAGGTTGCGTCAATGATATTATAGAAATAAAATTTAATAAACCGGTTGCAATAAAAGAGAACGTTAAGTATGCTATTAAATTGAGAAATCGTGGTGGTCGTACTAGCAACGGTGATGGTGGTTTGAGTGCAGTCAAAGGACCAGATGGTACAACGTTTACTTTTACTGCCTGTTCTTTCAGTTTTAATGGTACGAAGTATTTTCAAGTATTATAAATAAAATATCTTTTCTCTCATGTGATAACTAATCTTGTTATAATGTTTTATAGGAACAACACAAACAAGAGGTCAAATACCACACATTTATTACTTTTCCAATCCTCAAGATTCTGATGGTCAACATACCAGTCAAGCAATAGCTGAAGTACAGGCAAGAAAGTGCACTCTTGCCATGACAGCTACAATTATTCAACGTTCTAATGAAATATTTGCGTTGGCAAGAGAAAGAGCTGAAGAAGTCACTGCCAGTGAAGTACTTGGTAACGCAACTTTTGTAACAACCCTTTTACCATTAGTGATGGCTCACATTAGTCCTTTAGCTACATCAGATCCAAGGGTAAATATTTTATTATCATTTTGTATTTTGTGATTTTACAAAATGTTCAATTAACAATTATACATTTCAGAGTGGCGTACAAATATTGACATTGATACAAGAAATGCTTCCACACGTTGCAGCTTTAAATTTATTATCTAATATGGGAACATCCCAGTTATCGCAAGATAGTGAAACACAATCTCATTCGACACCCTCTGTCACTACCAGTCACCATTATACATGGCTCGAAAGTGATCATCCTTATAAACCTTCTGCAGTGTCACACTATAAAGTTACTTTTCCCGAATCTGTTAAATGGTTATCGATCGAATTTACTTCAGAATGTGGCACGTCACAGCCAGAAGATTATTTACAACTTTACATTCCAAATGTTATTACAAATGCTTCTGCTGGGTAAATAGAAAAAAAAAAAACTAAAAAAACAAAAACAAAAAACCAAAGATTTCATTTACATTTAAATTGAAATATTTTAACAATTTTTTTTTGTATTTTTTAGTACACATGGAAATACAGTGTCAGAAGATACTCTATTATATTGGCCTGTATTACATAAAATGAGTAATATACAGAGTCAGTGGCCACAAAATGCTGTCGTATTACCAGGTATTAACATATATTAAAAAAAACTAATCAAAAATGTCGTCTTTATTAACACTTTAATGGCCGTACGCGTATACGCGGTTAAATGTCGTCAGGGACCCGGTAATATTTTTTAAGAATTAATTTATAAAAAACTTTATTTACGAAAAAATTAACATAAAACAAAAACAGTAAATTTAATATATATACTAGGGGTACCTCGCAACGCGTTGCTGTGGCTCACAATCAGTTCGATACACACGTCAATAAAATAATATTGCGATTATAAACTATCCTATCTTTCAAGTTGGATGAAACTGCACACAGTGTGGAAAATTTGATTAAAATCGGTTCAGTAGTTTAGGAGTTCATTGCGGACAAACAACGTCACACGTAATTTATATATATTAAGATAAGAAGAATAAGATATATAAAGTTATACACACATGTTGTATGAGCGGCCATTAAAGTGTTTATTAATATGCAATAATTATAAAAACTAAATAATATTTTCTAGGAAATGAAGTAATATTTTCTTTGGAAACCGCATCAGATTATATGAAGAACGATAGATCGAATACTTATGGTTTCAAGTGTTTGGTCATCGGTTATGATTGGATTACATCTGGAAATGGTTTGAAGAATTTAGAAATTGAACTGTCGTTTCTTGGTGGAGCATGTAGCGCAAGTTTAATGAAGAAAAATCTAATATTACCACCGGTGTCTGGTGGGTCTACGAAACATTTCAAATATTTTCAGTTTATTTTTTTATTTTTTTCTGAATAAAAGATTTCTTTTTGTATTTTTATTTGACATATTATGTATTATGATTACAGCTGAAGAAGTACAGAACGATTACGAGACTATGCAAGAAACTGCTAAGCGGATATTCTCCGTACACTCGGCCTTACTCGGACGTGGATTTGCTTTGTCATCACCGCCAACTGTCTCCCAAGCACTCGACGGTGTTCTTCCCTTCAGGTAAGTTTCATTCAAATTATTTTATTAGATCTAACGTAATCGTTAAAAACTATTCAAGATTAACAACTACAAAGATAAAATGCATGAAGGGGATTCTCGTCGTTGTCACAACTGGCAACAAAAACCCTAAAACATTTGTTTTCGTAGGTAGACACACAACTAGGGTATCAAAAAACACCATGATCCATTTTGTTAAAAATTATTTAAAATAATTCTTACCTATAGCGTTGATTTTACGTATCACGGTGTATACGAACACTCTCATCTAACTAAAATAAAAACACTTTTCGTAGCAGCCTTAATAAAAAACGCGTTCTCCGGGTATCGTTGAACAAACATTTTACTTGTTGAAAAAGTTAGCTCAACAATTGTTGTTGTCAGCTATAATAAATCCAAGTCGTTGTATTAATTGTGTCCCTGAGACTCGTTAAAAAAAAAAACTCCTTCTCGATTGTTGTAATTAACGCCTGTTATCATCGATCCAACGTGTTTATTCTTATCGTTACCAGCCCGGTATCTTATAATAGTGTGTTACGTGTAGATAGTGAGGGGAGGGGGTGGGTTTAATGTGTTGGGAGGGTTATTAAAAATAAATACAATAGGTTTTGATGATCGTTTAAAGGTATTTAGCGTGATCTTTATTCTTAATCGTCGGAATCAATACGTCGTTCAATGTGTAAAACAAATAATTACATTAGTCCAGAGCTGTTTGTGTTATATATCACAGTTTCACGATAATTATCAACTAAAAGGATCATTAGAAAACATAATTTTTCGCCAATAAGCGATAATCGCTAGACGCGTATACTCCGTATAATGAAATATGTACTAACGAGTCACGTTTTATGAATATTTCTCAGGTTACCTTATTGTATTATCAAAGTTGCATCGTTTAACACTTGCTCGCAATCCTTCTTGATGCTTAATTGTAATAATAATAATAATGATAATATATCAAACCTTGAGAGATATTTTTCTCAAAGCTCAAGGTAACAACGAACTCTCGATGAAGGTCATTGCGCGCGCAATAATCTCGGAAGCTTCGAGGCCCAATTTTTTTTCTTGTTGCATTGACTCTCTCTCTCTTTTGCTCTCTTTCTCCCATTTTATTATCGCTTCGGGCTGGCTAAGGAGAAAACTACCTTTGGAAGAATATCGTTTACAAAAGGGACGAGTAATGCGCATTAATAATGCATGCGACTTTCGTTCAAATATCCAAGATGGCTTTTACAAGCATTACAACATCAACAACAACAAAATTATAAAACCTAACCTCTTTTTTTTTTACCATTGCACTTTTAGGTCCTTCTTCTTCTTCTTCTTCTTCTTCTTCGTTAGTAAATGTAGTTTGTTGTCCTATTTTGAATAGATTTTTGTAAGAAAAAAAGAACTATACTTCTTTTTAATTTGATGAGTCTTCTTTGCAAAGGATTGGGGGGTTGAATATTGAAATTTATTTCACATTATGTCTTAATTATTTAATGAAAAAAAGAAAAAGAAAAAATATGAGAGATTTAATTTGAAAGTTTGTGTGTCATTATTGAAGAGGAAATAGTTTAGGTGATTTTTTCTTTTATTTTCTGCGAGTTCTCTTATCTAACGTTTAAATCTGTGTTTCTTATTTGAATGAATACATGTGTTGGTTGGTGTATTTGTATATGTGTGAGGAGTGACGGGTTTTTGAATTGTATATTTAATATCTCTCTCTTTATCTGACTTGGTTGTTGGGTTGCTTTAGAATTAAAAATCAAATGAAAAATTACGAGATTAAGTTTGCGAAGAAGATTCTTAAAGGTTCGTCTACTTCTTCTATCTGTCTTCCTTTTTCCGCTAGGATGAATTCGTGCCTTTGAAAGGAACGAATAGAATTCTAAATGAAGAAACTCATCTTTGTGTTTTCTCGTACTACTTGAACGTGGTTCTTCTTCTTCTTCTTCTTCTTCTTCGTCTTCGTAGATAATCAGCCATCTTCTCTTGAAAGCTACCTAACGATATAAACTTAACTAGCAACGACGACCGATTAACCGTCCTCGTGACCTCGATCGGAAATCTCTTAACTGCTGAGAGGAACGTGACCGTCTCAAAGTAAGTAAAGTAAGTAAGTAAGTTAAATAAGAAAGGAAAAAGAAAGAAAAAATCAAAGTATAACAATAAGTGGGACAATAAAGTGTCATTAATTAATAACGCCGAAAATATTAATAAATAATACAAAAGAACTTGGATTGCAAAAAATCCAAATATTGGGTTGTCCGTAAATTTCGTGCCTATTTTGACGGAAGATTGACATGCAACGCACTCACCATCTTTATAGGTAACTTCAACAATTTTTGGACTAACTTAAAAACCTGAAAAACAACTTTTCAGGTTTTTCAGCAAAAAAAAAAACAAACTTTACGCCATCTATTGAAAATCGGCACAAACTTTCCGGACAACCCAATATATCCGGTCACCGATAGAATTCAAAATGTTGAACTCAAAACTTTGGGTTGAAGGTATCAAACAATTGGTCAAAATGAAACAAGGACACGTTCGGATGGATAATCGGTACTCGTTGTTTTATGATTTCAACACTTTAATGGCCGCACATCGATGCAGTCCAACATTGTCAGTGACTGGTAATATTAAATCTAAAATTAAAACTAAATTACCTCTAAAATCAAAGACGTAGCGATGAAATACGAAGCCACTCTCAATATTCACACTTGTTTACATTCATAAATTTATCAAACAGAGAGTGTTTTACTTACCAACAACTTTTGGCGCTAGCATCACACGCTTGTTGTATGAGCGGCCATTAAAGTGGTAATTGTCTTGTATCAATAAGATAGGATTACTCGATTTAAATGAATTCATGAGTGAATGAAGGGGGGGGGTGGTTTCTTTTTGTTGTTCGTCGTTTTAGGATGTAATTGTAGTAGTCACGCAGGACTTCTTTATACGTGTGTTGTTTATAATTTGTTATCATTTTTGTTTTGTTTATATCGCATAAACGCATCTCTCATTATATTATCGACTTATACATATTATATTAGAAGATATCTTTTTTATCGCATATAATACACGCATGGTTGACGTGAAAACAAAAGGAATTGTTTTGAGGAACCCGCAAGGAGGTGTACACAATCGCGTTTGTCAAAAAACGTTCCATACTTTTTTGTTTTGTTTTGTTTTTCTTTTCCTAACATCATTTTAGACGCAAAGGAATAATTCGCGCACAAACACCACGCTTAATATATATATATATATATATATATATATATGGTCTTTTAATTTGTATCATCGTTGCAATTGCAAGTGTGTTTTCTTCATAATTTATTTATCGTATCATCAAAGCTTGTACACTCGAAAACGACAGGAATTAGAATTAGTAGTAGTATTGATAGCCGACGAACCCGACGGTTCAATTTCACTTTGATGATGATCCTCAAAATGATGAATTCGATCGTTCATATAACCCGTCGAGTCGTAGGTGGCTTCTCGTTACAATTCCGTGGTCAAAGGTTCAGCTTTTTCAACGATTACGTGAAACTCGGTTTCCCTGTAAAGTCTACCATCTGGTACGACCATAGTTATCCTGCTGTCAACTGGTGTACCACCGGTCGTTGCTATTTCTCTTCCTATGACACCATTTTTCTTGGATACAACGTCAGGTGCGTTGGTTGGTACGCTCATCCATCGTTTTCTATCGTTGTTACGTCGTCTTTTGTAACACCAGACGATCAGGCACGCAAGTATTATAAGCGTCGCAAGAATTCCTACTATGATGATAATCAATATCAACATTGATCCACCTAACGAACAATGTCTCATTTCGTAATCGGTAAAACTCGTCGTTGAGGTAACGTCATAACAAAATAGAAATGTTTCCGGTGTTTCTATAGAATCTTGGGTTGACAAAATTGGTGGTACCACGGCATTTTGTCTCATGTAAAATTTCGAATATACATTAGTGTAATTTAATACGTTGTTCCTCCACAATGGTAACATCTGACAATCGCAGGATTGTTTTACCAATAGATCGTCTAATTCCGGACGAAAACTCGAACGATCAAACATCAATGATCCTTCCTCGAAATTAGACATACTGTTGTTCTTAAATATAAGATCATGAAGATTAGCGGATGATGATGATGCCGGTGGTGGCCTAGTTTCCGGATCCGATCTTATACCTAGAAACGCGCCTACGGCTAGACTACCAAAGGTATTATTTTTTATTATTACAGGTCCTTGAGCCGTTACATCAAATGCTTCGCTTTCTAAACTGTCTATTAAACAATTTTGAATCGCAACGGTACGTGGACTACGAACTATAAACGCTTCGCTTCTTACAATACCCATTTTGATACCGTCCAACATGAACTTGTGGTGTACCTCGATGTCGTTCATCGTACGACTAGGTACTTGTTCACCAAAACTACCACCTATCACGTGCAAATATCCCACGTCGAACTTCTTGAACGATTGAGCTTCCGTATTATCGATCTGACAATTCTCAAGCCTCAGGGTATCCGTGTGAAAGAGATTCGCAAAAGCGAATGCGCTCAACTGACCTATCCTCACGTTTTCGAAGCTTATAGCTTCAACGTCACCACCAAACACGAAACTGGGCAGCACGTCGATGCTGCAGTTCCTAACGGATATCCTTGTGCGCGAACTGTGCGACGAAAGTTTGAAGCTATGTCGAACCAAACTGAGATTCGCAACGTTCACCAGATCCACCGATCTTAGACCGATCATCGATATCAAACTTGAGTTCGTTACTATTACTGATGAACAATTGTTCACGACTATTCGACTGGTGTGTGGGCTCAACTTCTTGTCGCTTTCCGTGCTCAGGATCAATTCCTAAAACAAAAAATATATTTTTTTTTTTTAGGTTAAGACATTAACAATGTTTGCTTTACTTTTAATTAATTTCAATCTTTCCTTACTTTCTTTTTATTTTTATTTTGATATTGTTTCTTTCAATGAACAAAATAATAATAATAATAAAAAAAAATGGGACACGTTTATACTCGATTTGATTCAATTCGATACGTTGAATAGGAGGCAAGGCTTAATAAGGGTCGAATAGCTGTAATTAGAAGACTAATTACTGTAATTGTTAGCAACGTGTGAACACCTCCTACCTTTCCAACCCCCATCCCCCTGTATCGCGTCAATTTACACGACTAATATTGTTATCATAATCACACGAATACGAAATATCAAACTTTTCTCTGCTAACTTTGTTTTTTTTTCTTTTTTTTCCGTCCATATCATCAACCCTTTCATAGTAGATTCTTTTTTTGTTTGTTTGTTAACAAGAGAGAGAGAGAGAGAGAGTTGTATACAGGCTTAATTTTATTTTACAGATTTATTTAAAACTAACAATCAAGGGTTGTTTAAATTGAGATAAATGATGGGAATTGTGTCTAAGTGGGGGGGGGGACGGGACGGACACCACCTTTTAAATTCATTTGAAAATAGTAAAACAGTTCTAACGAATAATAACAAGGTTTTTATCAGCACTAACATGAAAAGTCAGTAATAGCAAACAGTAACAGGTAGACAGGAAGGCAGGTAGTACATTAGAGAATACAGGTAGACTTTATAACACTAGTAATATATTTTCTCCCTTTTATTTCCTTTCCCTTTATGGTCATAGAATATATATAAAAGAGATCACATTTCATGAGTTAGTATTTCAAGAATAAAATCATCTACCAAAAGGCTAACTTCAATTCGTAAAAGAAATTTCAATATGTCTGCGCCACTACGTTAGTCAGACAATCATCCAATAAGGAACATTCCTGACATATTTTCAGCATGATTAATTTCTTAACAAAGAATTCGATATCTTGATATCGTATTATGTGAATGTATAGTCATCTAAAGGTTCTTTATCTTTCCTTTAAAGTGTGTGTGTGTATGTATATACATATATATATTGTATATACCGTTTCGTGTTTGGTTATGTAGGTTATGTAAACGATACGTTCGTGATTTCACGTTAAATGTTAAATCATATCGAAAAGATTTCGATTATCGATCGTTTCAAAATAAACTTGTACTTTTTTTTTTTTTATCACCTTTTTATAAATGTACACCTTTTTTTTTTATATATGTGTGTGTTAATTTTTTTGTAATTAAATTCACTTTAATCAAATTACAGTAATTTGGTGTTGATCATAAATTGAATTATATACACATATATATTATTAATTAATTATATATATTATTATTAATTATTATTATAATATATTATATATATAATAATATATATTATTATTAATTAATTAATTATATATGGGTGGGGTTAATTTTTCTGTAATCAAATTCACTGTAATCAAATTACAGTGATTAGGTGTTGATAAGAAGAAATGGAATGATTTTATTTTCTAACAAATGATTAGTTTTATTATTATTTATTATATACACACATTCTAGAATTTCGGATCATTTTTCATCTTGTTTGTTGTGTGTGTGTGTGTGTGTTTAGTTTTGTTGTATTTTAAACGAAACTGACCCACTCACCCCTCCTTAGAGTCTCGGGTATCAAATGAGAAACACTTGAAATACTAGCAAAAGGAGACTGACCGTATTTCCTGTTTCTTATCTTTCTCTCTCTTTCTCTCTCCTTCTCTCTCTTTTTCTTTCTCATTTATCTTTGTTTTTTTTTTCTTTCTTTCTTGCTTTTCTTCTGGAAAGAAGAAAGACACGTTCAAATTTCTCCACATCGTACGTTTGTTATATTTATAATCCCTCTTTTATTCTTTTTCTTCATCTTCATTCTACTTTTTCATATTTATTCTTCTTATTTTCATTTTGTTGTTCTTCTTCATCTTCATCTTCATCTTCATCTTCATTTTCTTCTGCATCTTCTTCTTTATTCATCTTCATTTTCACTCTTCTTTCTTCATCTTCTTCATCTTCTTCTTCATGTTCATCTTCATCTTTTTTTTTTTTTTTCATAGTAGTAGGTTAGAAAGAGTGTTTTCAATGGGTAGGAAAAAAGAACATGCGGAGGAGTATGGAATAAAAGACGCAAAAGCTTCTATGCCAGGTACGTTTTTCTCTTCTGATGAAAACGAAACCTTTGTACTTTCCTTTCTCTTTCTATCTCTCTCTCTCTCTCTCTTTCTCTTTCTCTCTCCTTTTCTCTTTCTAGGTCTTTTTTTACTCCTACTTTTTTTTTTCTTCTTTTTACTTGTTTGCAAGCACACCCCGTAGTTTCTACGCATTACCATCTTGATCCGTGCAATCTCTCTCTCTCTCTCTCTCTCTCTCTTTATTTCTTTTTCTTTCTCATGGATGCTGCTCGTGTGTCCCTTCCTGCTGCTGGTTGGTGATGGTGATGGTGGTGGTGGTGGTGGTGGTGGTGGCCCGTTTCGACCTTTGTTCTTTCCACAATATCCGAGCTGAGAGAGCGCGAGTTTCTCTAACCGTTATGGATTTTCTTTTTTTCCTTTTGAAAAGAAAAGAAAAAAAAAAAAGAAAAAAAAAAAAGAAGAAAAATTTGTGCTCTCTTGGATATTTCATTAATTAATCCACGTCCGTGAATCTTCATCCCTTCTTTTCTTTTTTTTTTTCTCTCCCTATTATATTTTCCTTCCTTCCTTCTTTTCCTCTCTTTCTTTTTTTTATTATTTCTCTCTCTCTCTCTCTCTCTCTCTGTCTTCTTTCTTTTTAGAAAGAAACAACTAGCATGGTAGAGGTTATGTTATTTATCGTACCAGGAGAGACTTTTTCAAATACTTTCAACTAAACGTTGAATTACAATGCATATACACACACACATACACATATATATGTATATATATAGTAGTCTGTGCAACGTCATGTGTTAATGTGGCTCACATGAGCCAAAAATATGAAGTTGTATTAGATAAAAGTTAGGTTATGTTCCAATGTTTCGTACACTCACCGAAATCTATGACCAACAGATGACACTGAACTTATCCTGTATCTTTTTCTTTCTCTTTTAAATTAATTAATTATTTTCTAAATAAATTAATTTAATCAAAACCTGAATGCGAATGCAATGTTGTGTCAAAGTTTCAAAACAATTAATTAAATACTTTTTCAGATTAGAGGTTAAACATAAACGAAAAATCTATATTTTTATATTGGGATTTCTAGCACTTGAATACTCTATCTGGTGGCAAAATTCAAAATTAGACTAGATAGGAAAAATTGCTACGTCACGTGGTGGATCTCTAGCACTTGAATACGCTATCTGGTGGCTAAATTCAAAATAAGATTAGATAGGTCGAATTGTTACGCCACACTTCTGCCAAAAATCCCAATATTAGGTGTACAATTTTACTTCCGTTATTTTCCTACAGATGGCTTATAGAAAAAAATGGCGGAAACAAATCTGTACACCTATTATGTGATTAGTAGTACCTAAAATTTTAATCCAATCGAAAATAATATAATAAAAATGATACAAAATTTAGGTTTATACGAGATTACCGATTAGGTTCAAATGAAATCTACATTTATATATATATATATATAAGTAAGGGGATTCCCCCGAAACTCATTAAGTGGCATTAGTTTAAAGAGTATCGTATCGTTAAATGTGTACCGGGTGTCTCGAAGCACAAATTTGTATTTAGGAAGGAAAAAGATAGAATAGGGTGAGTACTCAAGAGGGGAGGAGGATGCAGACAGGCCAGGGTCATTGTCGTAAATTTCAAGGACCCCACCGGGAATCTGAATTTTATTTCCCAACAGTTTTACTCTACTCCCACGAGACAGAGAAAGAAAACAAACCAACTCAGAACAACGAGTGTGCGTGTGCAAGAGAGAAAAAGAGAAACCGATGGAAGGGTTTAGATAGAAAGAGAGAGAGAGAGAGAGAGAGAGAAATAAAATGAGAATGAGATAGTGGGATAAATACCATGATGCTTGTTGGATAGAAAGAGAAAAATTGAGTAGACCGGAAATGAGAGAAACAAATATATTCCTTCTCTCTCTCTTTTTGTATTTTATTATTATTTTTTTTTTTTTTTTGAAACGTCTCGTCTTTATTATTCTTCTGTCTCATTTTTTTTGCAGTCGCGTGTGTAATTTTATCGAACGAATTTCACGTGTGTGTTATTCTCCAGACATTTTTCGTTTGTTTGTGTTGTGTGCGTGTGTTGTGTGTCGTATGAAATAAAAGAGAAAAGAAGGAATAAATGAGAAGAACAGAAAGAGAAAGAGAAACTGGGGGCTAGGAATGGAGGGGGGTGGGTGATATAAAAGGGGGGTTTGGGGAAGGGAAAGAGTAGAGTAGAGTATCGCGTAGAAGGTGTGTTGCTTCTCGATTACTTGAGGGGTGGTGGTAGGGGGTGATTCCCATTGGGAACACCAGCCCCAGAGTTTCTTTCAAAGGGTACAACATAGTTCGACATTGCAGCATGGTAGTTGCACAGCATCCTTCCCAAAGCTTCTTTTTTCTGTTTTATTTTTTTTTTTTGTTTTTCTTCTTTTCTTTTATCCTCTTCCTTCTTCTTCTTCTTTTTGTTTTCAACCCTCATCGTTCTCTTCTTCTTCTTCTTCCTCTTCTTCTTTCTTGAAATGTTCCCACGATGGGGGAGAGCGCACGTTCTTTTCTATCATCTTCAAACGTTTCTCTTATTCTTCTTTTCGATATGATGCTAGACGAAAGATTGCCGATCGTCCAACACAAAACACACTCACACCTATATCTATATCCACATATATACACAATCATATAGACAGGTACAGTGAGAGAGAGAGAGAGAGACAGACAGACAGATTATTTGAAAACCCAGTTCGCGTTCGTCTTTTCCTCCACCTGATTGTCGATTGTATTTTCTCTATATTTCATTTATTTTCTTTTTTCTTTTTCT